AGAAAGAAAGAAAGAAAGAAAGAAAGAAAGAAAGAAAGAAAGAAAGAAAGAAAGAAAGAAAGAAAGAAAGAAAAGGAAAACAGAAGAAACACAAGCCACACATATAATTTAAAATTTTCTAGCGGCCATTTTAAAAATTGAACAGAAACAGATGAAATTAATTTTAACACTGATTTATTTAAATCAAAATATCCAAACTATTATTTCAATATGTAATCACTATGAAAATACACTGAGAAATTTTACTTTTTTCAGCCTAAGTTTTTGAAATGTGGTAATGTTATTTACACTCACAGTATATATCTCAAGTCAGATGCTAAATTTTCAAAGGTTAAAGTGAAATGTAGTCCTTCCAAAACAATAAAGCTATGAATACAGAAAACTATTTTATATTTTAAACTTAAATTAGCTAAAAATATTCAGTTCCTCAGCTGACTAGCCACATTTCAAGTGCTATATGGCTATATGTGACCATGTCTATTCTATTGTACAGCTACATGGAACCCTCTCTTGACTGGAATTGGAGGCTCTCACACTTCCAACAAATTCCACTATGAAATGACTCAGAAATGTGAGGAGACCTATCCAAAATATTTCTTACTCCAAAACAATGTTTTCTTTGCTGTGTAACTATAACAGGCTAACACATTATTGAGTGTGACAACTATCCTCTGTGTTCTATAATTCAGTAGCATGGGGAGATCAAGGAGTTATCTTCCCTGTCAGGGAGTTTAATTCAAAGTTAAAATTACACTATTACTCTTAAATTACTTTTCGTTTATTATATTTTAAAAGGTAGAAAGAGACTTTGGGGATTCACTTTCAGTATTTTCATAGTGAAATAAAAACATAGAATTCTGAGTGGCAAGTTGAAGGATTTGACCTTTATCTAACTGACAACAGCAGATGTTGTAAATTTTGGAGTCAAGGAGTGACATGATAACATCAGTGTCTCAGGAAAACAAATCAAAATCCAGTATTCAAGTAGACTGACAACAGCAAAAGTGCGCAGGGAAGGCGTGGTGCTTCTAGCATCCTTAGCTGGCTGTACATGTGCTCTTGTATACGCCAGGAATGCTGTTTTCCCCTTCTTAAGCCAGAAAAACACGTGCTCATCATTCAAAATCTGGCTCACAGTCACCTCCTGGTTTCCTGGATACAGATGACAAACTGAGCTCCTTCTTCCACCTGTGCTCCCACAGCACTTCCTTCAAAATCCTGTCAGGAGCCAAATTAAGACGGCAAAACAGTGGTTGAAAGGTTGAAGAGTTATTCTATAATAGGTACAAAGTTTCAGTTTTACAAGATGTAGAGTTCAGTGGATGGATGGTATCATCGCAGCACATCAATGGGAACAACTAGAAGATTATTCCAGCCAGCTAACTCCTCTTCTTTCCAATCTCAGCTTAAAGTTCACACCATTTAGGAGACTTCTTTTCCAGGCCAAAATGGTTTAGGTACCTTTGTCMTACCATCTCATGAACTTCATGCTTTTCTCCTAACAACCGTAATCTATAGCTAATTATGTGGTGTATTAGTTTACTAGGGTCACCATAACAAAATTCTATAGACTGGGTGCCTTTTATCGATTTTCTCACAGTTAAGACCAAGGTGTTGATAGGTCTGGCTTCTCCTACTCTCTCTCTCCTTGGCTTGAAGAAGGCCTTTCCTTTATTCACACATSCCTCTGGCATCTGGGTGTTTAAATTTTCTCTTCTTATAAGGACACTGGGGCAGGGGATGTAGCTCATTGGTAGGGCACTTGCCTAGCATGCATAAGGCCCTGGGTTTGARCCTATCAAAGATACGAGTCAATTGGGTTAGGATCCACCATTCGCACCTCATTTAAACTTAATCACTTTTTTAAAGGCGGAATCTCCAAATACAGTCACATTCTGAGGTACTGGGGGCTAGGACTTCACTGTATGAATTTTGGGAGGCCACTCTTCAGCCTACATGATGTTAACCTCTATGGTACTCAACTGGCAAACTCCACGAAAAGAGGGGCTTTATCTAATTCTCATTTCACAGCCTTTACAGTCACCACACCCTCTAGTATACCTAGAGTACACTACCTTCAACTCTTCATAAAGCAGCAACATCAGCACTAATATCTGACAAGGGCCATTTTGGACCCTGTTATCTAAAGTAACCCTGAAAGTCTCTCCTGCGTCATTATTTTCTTTCCACCATGGCACTCACCACTTAATGTCAGCTTCTGCAAAGGGCGGTCATGCCTTTTGACACACTGCTGTGTGTCCAGGGTCTCACTCATACTTATGCATAAATGAGTTTCTGTAACCACTTAGCACATTTTAATGCCTTTATTTACACCCCTGAGAAAATCTGCAGGGCTTTTAAAATCCCAAATGCTTTCTGGATCTCAGCTTTGACACTCATCCAGCAGGTTCCCCTCCCTGTCGGGTCCTAACCCAGGACAGCAGTACCTTCCTCAGAGTTGGACAAGGTACGGAAGGCACCCAGCTCAAAAGAGTGGCTGCTGGGCTGGGGATGTGGCTCAAGCGGTAGCGCGCCCGCCTGGCATGCGTGCGGCCCGGGTTCGATCCTCAGCACCACATACMAACAAAGATGTTGTGTCCGCCGGGAACTAAAAAATAAATATTAAAAATTCTCTCTCTTAAAAAAAAAAAGAGTGGCTGCGTCAGCTGAAATGTCGGTGTCCTCCCAAGCGTGGGACCTGAGTGGGACGTGCGGCTGCTGAGGAAGCCCTGTGGGGGACACAGGGTAAGGTCACCCTCCTCTCCTTGCTCTTCCTACCCCTTGGGGTGGAGCAACCTCGGGCTCTCGGCTCCGGGAGCCAGTCCCTGCCCACAGCGTTTGGGGGAGGGATGGTTTGGGCACAGGGCTGAAGGGCGTTCTGCAGCCAGCTGCCTAGGCTCACGCCGCCCTGCTCCCAGTGGCCGGCGGTGCAGTGACAACCGCCTCGCGGGGCCCCTCACGGGGCCATCGGGGACACAAATGGAGCTACTGCACCGGGACGGTCGGGGGACTCGCCACCGCGGCCTCGCCAGCGGCTGGGTGGAGAGGCGCCGAGGGAGGAGTCCCCAGGGGGCCCGGCTGAGGTGGCCCTCCTCTTGGTGGGCGGCCCGCGCCAGCAAGCTGCTGTCTTGCCCACGCTCTTACCCGGCCTCTCAGCGCGCTGAGGAGGCGCGCGAACAGACGGAACGCGCCCAGGAACGAGACGCACCGGAGAGGCCGCGGGCTGGGCAGGGCGACGCTCGCTGCGTGTGACGTCACTAGACACGCCGCGGCACGCACGCGCAGAGGGCTGGTGGGCGAGGCTGGCGGCTGGAGCCAGCATGGCGGCCGAGCGCAAGACCAAGTTGTCCAAGAACCTGCTGCGCATGAAGGTGCGCGGGTGCTGGAAGGGTCTGGGGGGCGACAGGGCCCTGACCTCTCGACCAGGCTCAGGACGAGGCGGCGGGCGTGCAGGGGACAGCAGGCGGGCCTCCGGCGGGTGGAGCTCATTCGTTCCCCGCGACCCGGCCGGTGCGGGCGCTTGCTAACTCGTGCGCGGGCAGCCAGGCTCCGGGCGGAGGGAGCGGGAGGGTCCCCGGCTCGGGGAAGGCGAGTTCAAGGCCTGAGTTCAAGGAAGAGAAGGGAAACAAGAAGGTTTCCAAGAACCAAAGTGACCACTGTGTCTGGAAGGCAGGCCATGGTCACGGCGTGCAGGGAGCTTCGGGCGGGATGGAGGGTTGGTTTGGGGTTTTGTTTCCCTTTAACTTATGAGCAGTAGAAGCTGTTGAGCACAGGGAGCAGTCTCTTGAGCTGTGTTGCTCTTCAGGATCACTTTAACTGCCCTGTGGAGAATATGTTGGTGGAAGAAAGGCCCCGAAAAGGCACAAAATTGTGGCAGTGGAGTGGAAGTGAATTGTGACCCAACTTTAAATAAAACTGATTTTTTTTTTTTAAAGATTTGAAATTCAGTCATTTTAACCCTATACTTTCAAAGTGGAACAACAATCCAGATAAAGCATGGTTGGTAAAATAAACACAGGAATGAAGACAAAATTAAAACTTAGATAATACAGATAGCAAATATTGATAATCTTTACCATATGCCAGGCCCTGTTCTAAGTGCTTTCCGTGATAATTCATGTGATTCACATAGTTACCCTTTGAGGAGGCTGTGGTCATTATGCCTCTTTACAGCTCAGGCAAATGAGAGGAAGTGATATGCCTGAAGTTACAYGGCTAGTAAGGACTGGAACTCAGTTTTATCTGTCTCCAGAGTTCTGCCTGGCACTTGCTAGTGATGGTCCTTGACTTACAGTGAGATTATGCCCTGATATACTCATCATAAATCAACAGAGGATAAAAGTGCATGACACACCTAACCTAACTTAACCACATAGTACACTGTAGAGTTCCAGTTGTTTACCTTCCACTTGGTGTGGCTAAATGGGAACTGCAGCTCACTGCTGCTCTTTAGTATCACCAGAGAGCATCATACTGAATATGGATAGCACAAGAAAATATCAAAATTTGAAGTGTGTGTCACTTTGCCTCCATCATAAAATCAAAAATTTGTTAAGTTGAACAGTTTTAAGATGGGGAACATCCGTACTTATACAGATTGTTAGATATCATGTTTACAGAGTGATGGAATTTCCAAGAAAAGAAAGTAAAGTGTAAGTAATGTTTTGAAGATTAAAGAGAAAATGTTACATGGGCAAGATTTGAATGGAGTTAAGTTTGGGTGTAACTAGGGATTAGTAGGGTGAGGAAGGGAGGGGACAAATTGTAGCATGACGTATATGTTTTGTAAAGTACTTCTTTTGTGCATATCAGCAAAATTTGAGTCTTTACTGAACAGAATTTTCTTTTGGTTTAATGGTTTATGATCTCATTGGTTTTGAGAAGTGGAATAGACTGACCAAGCAAGCACTGAAAAGATTTTAGCAGTAGCATTTGCTCTAGGAATAAGCCAAATAAAGATGTGCTTGGTGATTAGGGATTGGACCGAAGATCTGACTCTGGAGTTAACAAGGAAGAAATTGTCTTAAAACAGTCTGCCACCACCCAAGTGAATGGGGAAGTTTGAATTGGATGTTGGAAGCAAAGGAGAGATGAGAAAATTAATCAGGTTCTCCATTTGAGTTAGCAGTTTCCATCACTGACAAGAAAGAACTTAGCCAGCAGGATCCCAGGTAACACTGCCTACAGAAAAAGCAGAGTATATGCTGTGAGAAGTCATGGGGCATTATAGCCAGTGTCGCTGTTCACTCGGAGCTGAGTGTAGGCAAGTATGAAATCACTGAGCATTTAGTCCAACTCACTTGTTTTCTGGGCTCTTGAAGACCACTGACTTTAGCTGTTGGACAGAGGGTGATCCTGGTAGGAAGTACAAAGAAAAGGATGTGGATAGAAGGTTTGCCGTTATGATGGATTGCTTATAGAAAAGGTGCTTGTTTTTGTTTTTAATTCCTTTGGACTCTTAGGACAGATGGGCTTTGGTGAACTTATTCTTTAAAGGTTCAGATAGTAAATATTTTAGGCTCATGGGCCAGGTAGTCTTTTGGGTACCTACTCAACTCTGCCATTGCCACTCAGAACTAAATGAGCATTACTTTGTTCCAATAAAACTTTATTTATACTAGCAGACATCCAAAAACTTTATTTATGATAGCAAATACCCAGCCTGAAGACTATACTTTTCCAAAGCCTACTGTGGGTTCTCAGTTGTGAAGGAGGCTAAATCGCTAACTTTAGAATGTATTCTGAGATGCTGTAGAGTCAGGAGACTAAACTGATGCCTAAAAGTGGAGGTACTAGATTCACAGCCACGGGGTGTTCCATTTTGCCATGTGTACCAAACATAGGTATAAATGAGTATTTGTGTACCAAGAACGTGAGTGTTGAGATGAAGCAACACTCAACATGCTTAGGAATGAGTCTGTAAATGTAAGACTGGTCTGGGTTCATTACATTAGAAGGCCTGTTTGTAAAGACACACAAGAGTGTTGACACTGATTTTGTTTTGACAGTTTATGCAAAGGGGACTGGACTCAGAAACCAAAAAACAACTAGAGGAAGAAGAAAAGAAGATCATCAGTGAAGAGCACTGGTACTTGGATTTGCCAGAGCTTAAAGAAAAAGAGTAGGTTTATTAGAATTTATATTGATGATGTTTGGGACAGTCAGAAGAAAATCCCTGTAGATTTGACAGGGATTATTTTATGTCCAGTGATGTAAACTATAAAGTTATTTTATGTTCAGTTTCGTGGGTTAGCCTTGCAAATAATTTTCTAAAAACTATTAAACCTATAAAAGTTCTACCTGGATTTATATATTTTTACTGGCTTCCTGCTATCATTTATAACACTGTCTTTTTTTTTTTTCATTGAATAAAGGAATCTAGTGCATACATCTCTGATAATAACAGAGGACTTTTTATTGGAAGCTATAATGTGCTCTGTATCACATTAAGTTCCAAAATTAGGTGTGTACTTCAGGCCATCCAGTTTTATTTCAGTAACAGAGTTAATTTATTAGACTTAGGCTCTTTCAGGTCAGGAGCTTTGTCTTTCTTTTTTTTAATTGTTACTACTTTAAAGACCATTCTTCTAGCACACATTCACTGAATCTAGAGTGTGTTCCAGGTACTTGGCTCAGCACCTTACATCATAGCAAACATAAGAGCTGCCCATTTCCATTCTGTCCATCTTGCAGCTTAACAGTAGTTTGCCCAGAGCCACTCAGTAGTCCAGTACTGGAGATGCAAAAGCACACAAAGATAGTGACCCTCAACTTCCAAGCTTGACTGGTGCCTAAGAAGTGATTTTGATTGAAGGAGTGATGGATTCATCTCATTTACTGATCTAGATCCTTCTGGAAGCCCCTTATCATTGTTCCTTAGTAATTCTCTTGCCTTGGCAAGCTCTGCATGTGTGATTTTACTTAACCCAACCGAAGATGCTGTGTACATTTTCAAACACATATGTGCTCCTTTCTTCCCCTGATAGTTTTTTTTTATTTACCATGTTATATTCCTTCTTCATTTTCTGATCTTTTCTGGGCCTTTTTGGGAGTTTAGATGCCCTTCTGTAAAGACAGAACATCTGCCCCACCAGGAGAAAGAGACATTTTTTTCTCCATTTGCCTCAGAGGGAGCAAGGTATTGGTGAGAAGGGAACAAGTGCTGCAGGAGATAGTGTTGATGGGGGAGAGGATCAGTCTTTACGAGGATCCATAATCTGGATTTGTGCTTTGCCTTATGAACTTGCTCAGATCTTCCAGATGTTTACTGAAGGGTGGGACAGGGCTTTTTTTGTTTTGGGTTTTTTTTGGGGGGGGCGGGGGATGGGGGACACTTAATCACAGGTTGAACTCAGGCAATTGACCACTGAGCCACATCCCCAGCCTTATTTTTGTATTTTATTTAGAGACAGAGTCTCTCTGAGTTTCTCAGCACCTCACTTTTGCTGAGGCTGGCTTTGAACTCGTGATCCTCATGCCTTAGCCTCCTGAGCTGCTGGGATTGCAGGCGTGCACCACTGTACTCAGATAGGGTGAGACAGTTTTGATCTTGTTTTCAATATTCTTTTTTTGTTTTCCCCCTCTACACAGAAAATGACATTTAGATTACTTTCCTTAGAAGGTAATGAATAACTTTGTGCCCTCACTCAGGAAAAGATGGCACTGTCTAGTTGTACACTGGCAGATTGGGTGATTCAAGGAGCACAAACTGGTACTCTTCCAGTTTCCATTCAAAATTCAGGTTCCCTAATTGCTTCTTCATGCACTCATTTTTTCATGTAAATTCTTGAACATATTTATAATCACCGTTCTAAAGTTCTTTTCTACTAATTCCATCATCTTTCTTTTGATTTTTGTTTGTTGTGTGTGTGTGTGTGTGTTGCATTTTCCTGCTTCCTTGCATGTCTACTCATTTTCCATGTGTGCGTTGCATTATGTGTGTTAACTTCACTAACTGCATAGATTTTGTTGTCTCCCTTGATAGAGTGTTGAATTTTGTTCCATTAGGCAGTTAATTTACACTGATCAGCTTATTGTTTTTGTTAGAATCAGTCTGATAGATTCTGCTTTAAGGCTTAATTAGCCCTACTCCTAAGGTAGGGCCTTTCTGCTAAATATCACAGGGAGTAGGCTTGACCTCTGCTCTCTGGCTAGACAGAACTCAAACATGACACGTTTCTGTGCAAGCCCTAATATCTATTCAACATATAGTTGCAGGATGAGTTTTCTTTTCCAGATATGGTAGGGTAGAAGACATCAATGTTCTTGTCTCTGGAACCTGTGTTACCTTAGGTGGCATAATTGACTTTGCAGCTATGGTTAACTTAAAGATCGTTAAAAGAGAGATTGCCTGGGTTATCTGAGTGGAAACTAAATACAATTTTGTTTTCTTATGTATTAATTAATTTAATTACAATAATCAAGTGCCTGAGGTTGGGTAACTTGAAAAATATAGAGATTTGTTTAGCTTATAGTTCTGTAGGTTCAAGGACATGACTGGGCTGGGTGGTGGGGTGCCTCATACTGAGTGGTGTATGGGGAAGGAAGGGCAACCATCTTGAGATAGGAAGCCAGGGAGTCAGTTGCAGGCTCAGATTTTTATAACAGTTTGTCATCATGAGAATTACTCCCCTCCAATGACTTAAGGACCTCCCTCCAGACTGCACTTCTTAAAGGCTTCAGGCGTCCTCACGTGTCCTCACTGGGGACTGAACTTCTAATACTTGAATCCCTGGGGGGACAAATCATTACATCTTGTAAGAGGAAGGCCAAGGGCGATCTGACACACACAGCAGGCATTGTGACCATGTATGAAAAGTTGGAGTTATGTAGTACCAATCCAGGAAGTGCTGCCTACTACCAGAAGCCAAAGAAGCAATGGGCAAATTCTCCACTAAAGTCACTGTCCTATTGGTACCTTGATTAGGCACTTGTGACCTCCAGAATGGTGAAAGCCTAAGTTTCTAATGATTGAAGCCACCAATTTTCTGGTAATTTGCTACAGCAGCCACAGAAAACCAAGTCATCAGATAACTATTCTCCCAGAAGGCATCTGTGAGAGCTCTTCTCCTGATGTTATGGCTTCACCTGGCACAGCTTATTCAGCTGGAGATTGAAGAAACCCCACAGCAGGTCCTGGATTTCCTGTGTGTCTCTGGCCCATGTAGCCTAGCCACCTCTGTCATCCCAAACTTTAGCTTGTCTTCACATCAGCAGGGCTGTGCTGTTTGTCTCTAGCTTCCTCCTCCACAATCTGGATATTGCATCTGGGCAGAAAGCCCTACATGGCGGGGCTCACTCCATTGGGTTTTCTTCTTGGTCAGCCAGTGYTCTGATGTAGTCAGAAAATATTTGTTCCACATTTTGCCCTATTTTTTAATTGGCTCTGGGTGGCCAGGAATGGAAAACCTGCTAATTTTCTTCTGCTGTCTGATGGCAATGTTTTCTTTATTGTCTGGGGCCGTGAGAGCAGAGGCTTTTTCATTCCTGGCTGTTCCCAGCCTCTGGAAGAGAGTCTGCCTTGTCCGATCTCTGAATGTTTGCTGAGTGAGTCTGCTGAAGAGTAGAAGCCACACACGGAGGTGTTGCTTTCCTGGCCTGTTGAGGGTCGTAGCCAGCTGAGAAGCTTACCTTGGGTTCAGGGTCATGCACTGGCGGTTCTGAAGAGAAATGCTTTTGGAGACACTGTAGTCAGTCCTGTTTCAGGGGAACTGCGGCTGCCACGCTGCCCCTGGTGCCAGTGTTGGCTCCTAGCCCAGCATTGTTCTTCCTGGGCTAATTGTGGAGAATGATTTTGGTTTCATTTCCGCACCTCATCACCCTTATTTCTGCCAGTTTCTACTTTTGCTCATCCAGCTTTCCCAAGGTCTTTTGGGAACTCCAGGGCCAGTCTTCCGGGTAGTTAGCTAAACACTTCCACCAGTACACTCTGTGAAAGCTGCCCAGGCTCCTCCTGCATATTTATTTGTTTGATTTATGTATTTTTTTTTYCCTAGACGTTTAGTAAGAATTGGGGGGTGGGGGTAGACATCAAAGAAATTTTGCTACAACTTTGGAAAAGTCAAGTTTACTAATGCTTTTGGTCTGTACATCATGCAGGTACTTATGCATAATGTTCAGAAGAGTTGTGCCTCCCTCCAGCCTGTAGCTCTCATCTCCCAGGGCCTTCCTTTGCTGACTGAATTAATCAGATTTTATTTCCAGCCCTGGGTTAGAAATCTTACACTATGTTTTTACTTGATCCTACTGAGAACCGTCAGATTGATTTTTCCTTCAGTCTTGATTTTTACTTGCCTGCTTTGTTATGTGTAGACTTGCCATTGATACAGGTTTATTTTCCCATTTAGGAGTGTCATAATAGAGGAGCAGAGCTTCTTGTTATGTGAAGATCTTCTGTATGGAAGAATGTCATTCAGAGGATTTAATCCTGAAGTTGAGGTATTAAATATAATTGCTTCAAATTTAAATTTTTTCCAATTGAATTTTTTCTGCCAATTGTTGAGCTTAGGTTTCTCCCTACCAGGTATCATTTCTCCTTATTGTATAGAAAATAACAAGTCTTGAAATACTGCTGTAGCTATTTAAAGAAATTGCAGGCGTTGCAGTCTAGTTTTATGGAAGAATTGAGTAGATAATTTAATACAGCAGCACACGGTCCCTGATGGTGCCAGTGTGCTAGAATTTCAACTGGAGTCTTTTACTGGAGTGTCAAGATTTTATTCAAATGATGCTATTATGAAAAGTTATTTTCTGGCATCTGTAAATGTATCTTTTCTAATGGATAATATTACTTTAAAATTGTATAATTTGACTTTTTAATGGGCAGATTTTAATCAAAGCTTGTAAATAGACTTTTAAGTGAATACTTTGGAAAGTTTGTTCAAAAGATGAATATTCACCTTGTAGCTGAGCTGTTTGTTTGAATTTCCTGCCTCAGGTTTGCAGAGAAGCAGACCTTTATTTAACACCTTTATAGAACTTTGGCACTTATGTTGGTCCCACCTCATACTTGATCATCCGGGTGCACATTGCCAATATAAATTTTAGTTCTGTAAATATCACTTGAAGCCAAGGCTTCTTGCCCTTGGCTTTATTGATCTTTGGGGCCAGATCATTCTCTGGTAATGGCTGTCCTGAGCATTATAGGGTGATCAGCAACATCTTGGAACAGTTTTCTACCCACTGAATGCCACTAGTGCACACAACTGCCGCCTTCAGCCCAGTCATGACAACCAGAAGTGTCTGCAGACATTGCCATACATTTTGTCCTAGTGGGCAGAATTGTCCCCAGGTGAGGACTGCTTCTCTAGGACACCTCTAGAGAACCACAGTTGACTGAGCCTGCTACAGGGTTATATTAAGGGTAGCAGGTTGGGGAGGGAGTATGGGATGATTAAGGTGTTACGTTTACTTTACACAAAGCCAACACTAACTGTTTGGTTTTAATATATACTTTCTTTGCTTTGGCCTGCTTTGAGCTTTAGATGGAAAGAAAAGGGGGACTATGAAGCAGAAAGAAAAAAAAAGGGAAACTGAGTGTAGGATGTCTAAAGAGCGGGGTTTCGGTGGCACACACCCCCAAGGTATGCCTGATGCAGGGGAATGTGAGGGTGCCTGAAAACAGGGCTGGTTGCTGGTTCTGTGATCCTGGACACCCTATCTTGGGAAAGGCTGTCACCTATTTTCTTATTGGTCCTTTGAGTGTTAGAGAAACCAGTTGAGCTTGTTTTCTCATCTGCCAGCCTTTCTCATCCTCTGGCCATTCCCCCACCAACTGTAACTATGGTAGTGTACTTTATTCTCAGTTTTGTGTGTGTGTGTCTGTGTTGCTGGAGATAGAACCCAGGGCCTTGTGCATGTGAGGCAAGCACTTTACCAACTGAGCTATATGCCCAGCCCCTCTTTAATTTTTTTTTTTAGTCTGTTAGAGAATAGCTCTTACGAAGAGGTTAATGAGGGAGGAAAGGCCATGGCTCAGAGACATTGCGTGCCATGCCTCTTCCACCCTGAAGCTCAGAGTGAGCTTGACTGCAGATTCTGTGCATCATGCAGGGCCAGGCTTCCACTTCTGTCCTGCACTGGCTGCCCTCCCGCCCACCACTGAGACATGTAATCCAGATTACTAGTGACTATCCTCCTCTACCAATACATCTTCCACTGGGCTCTAAGATGGGAAGTTCAAAGGAAATCTGAAGTCTATTTTTTTTTTCGCCCTTTCACTATATTGTGGTATCATATGCCCATGTTAAATATGAGGCAAAAGAAAAGACACCTTGAATTCCTTGGCACTAAATACAGTGTGGTGGGGCTTTTCTTACTTGTCTGTGATTCAGAACTCATCGAGTATTACAGGGAATCCCTTATAAATTCTGACATGTCCTCTGGATTCTTTGACTTTAGTTTCTCCACCTTCAAGTAAGTTTGATGCCATATCCTTTCACAAAGCCTTGTCTAGCTAGCCATCATGGTCAACATTGGTGTATTTTTCAGAAATTGATGCTTCAGATGAATGCTAAGAAYAAAACAGAAGATGAAGATGAAGATGAGATAGTAGAGCTTGATGTGTCAGATGAGGAAATGGCTAGAAG